CACGGGTGGCCAAACAATTCACACAGAAGGCCACACAACTCGACCAGGTTGCAAACCAATTTGCACGGGTTGCTAAGCAATTCACACGGAAAGCCAAACAATTCACACATGCGTGGAAGAATTCCGAGTGCTGTCTGGCAGGACTTCTGTAGTAATCGAAGGCACCCGCCTTCGTCACAGAGTGGCGCGTGCACCACCCTTCCTCCCGAAGGATCCTGGGCGGCGGTGGCGCTTCCCCGGGGCCCCAGAAGCCTCACAAGACGGCCCAGGAAAGCCATCCAGGCCGCCGAGATGGCCCAAGATGGCTCCAAGACGGCCGAGGCTGGCTCCAGGAGGGCCAACATGGCCCCGTGACGCCCCAGGATGGCCTCAGGAAGGCTCAGAAAGGCCGCATGACAGCTCCAGAAGGCCCCAGCCAAACGAGCTCCTGGAGGGCCCGAGGAGGCAAAAAAAAACAGCGGCTCCCCGCTAGTTGCCTCATTGATTTGAGGATTCTCACGCTTCTGGGCTCCCGTTCGCCCAAGACGGCCCAGTGAGCCTCCGAGATCGCCGCAGGAGGGCCCGTCACCTGGCACCCACCTGGGTGCACCACCCCCATTCCTGGGGGTCCCTGGACGGCCATGGTGCCATCCTGGAGATGGAGGGCAAATTGGGGCCTTGGGGTTAGGTTGGGGTGGTTTGGTGGGTGGTGGTGTGTGTGTGTGTGTGCACCCGCTCAGCAGACACAGGCACGCAGGCAGGCAGGCAGGCAAACAGACCGACAGGCAGGCAGACAGACAAACGGAGAGAGAGAGAGAGAGACTGAGAACGAGCGATATCTATATATATATATACAATAATACATATATATATAAAAAAAAAAAAAAAAAAAAAAAAAAAAAAAAAAAAAAAAAAAAAAAAAAAAAAAAAAAAAAAAAAAAAAAAAAAAAAAAAAAAAAAAAACGAATCACATAATAAATAAATGTGCATTTATTTATAGATCTATATATATATATATATATAAATAGAGAGAGAGAGAGAGAGAGAGAAAAACAAAAAAAAAAAAAAAGAGAGGCCGGGGAGGGCTCGGCGCGATGATCCAGCAGGCGCAGTTTTCCCGCAGGGCTCCCCCGCGCTACGCGCGCCCACCGCGCGCGGCCGCGCCCCGCCGACGGACGACCTCAGTGGTGCAGCTCGGTGCACCTGGACGGAGCCAGAACCACAGGAGGATCGAGGGTCTCGACTTTCAGAAGCTGCTGGCCCCCTTTGGGGCTCTACGTGCCTCCTGGAGCCTCTGGGGGCCTTCGGAGACCCCATGAGGACTTCGGGAGAGCTCCAGAGATCCCCACAGGCCTTTCAGTGCACCGACCTTGCAGACGTGCTGCAGCGGATTTTTGCGCGGATGTCTGCCAACACAAAATCCCGAAACGGCGAGCGAAAAAAAACGAAGTGAATTTCACGTGGATGTTTCATGACATTCACCTCGAAATCCGGAACGAAACTCTCAAAGACAGTCCGAGCCCATCCCATTGTTTTCCGAACGAAATCCGCTCTGCGATGTTAGCGCCACGAGACCTTGAAGCAGGAGGAGGAGGAGGAGGAGGAGGAGGAGGAGGAGAGGGGAGGAGAGGAGGCAGGAGGAGGGGGAGGAGGAGGAGGAGGGGAGGAGGAGAGAGGAGAGGAGGAAGGAGGAGGAGGAGGAGGAGGAGGAGGGGGAGGGGGAGGGGGGAGGGGGAGGGGTAGGAGGAGGAGGAGGAGGAGGAGAGGAGGAGGATGAGGAGGGAGGAGGAGGAGGAGGGGGGAGGGGGAGGGGGAAGGGGGAGGATGAGGCGGGGGAGAAGTGGAGGAGGGAGGGGGGGGGCGAGGGGGGGCGGGAGGGAAGAGGAGGAGAAGCAGCAGAAGGAGAACGACTTGGCGGGTGCACGGCTCGCCTAGTCGGCCCCTTGGGGCCCTGCGACAGCCTCGGGGGCCCCGCCCCGCGTGCTGGCGACGTGGGTCTACCCCCGAGGCCGGGTCGAGGGCGCGCACCCCCGAAGGGAGCAGGGGCCCCCCCGACGCGAGAAGTGGGGAAGTGCCTTCCTCCTCCTCCTCCTCCTCCTCCTCCTCCTCCTCACTCCTCCTCCCTCTCCTCCTCCCTCCTCCTCCTCCTCCGCCTCCTCCTCGCTCCGCCTCCTCTCTCTCCTGTGGTTTTCCTCCCCTCCTCCTCCTCCTCCTCCTCCTCCTCCCTCCTACTACTCATCCTCCTCCTCCTCCGCCTCCTCCTCCTCCTCCTCCGCCTCCTCCTCCTCCTCCTACCCTCCTCCTCCTCCTCCTCCTCCTCCTCCTCCTCCTCCTCCTCCCTCCTCCTCCTCCTCCTCCCTCCTCCTTCCTCCTCCTCCGCCTCCTCCTCCTCCCCCTCCCTCCGACTCCTCCTCATGCTCCTCCTCCGCCTCCCTCCGCCTCCTCCTCCTCCTACTCCTCCTCCTCCTCCTCCTCCTCCTCCTCCTCCTCCTCCTCCTCCTCCTCCTCTCCTCCTCCTCCTCCTCCTCTCCTCCTCCCTCCTCCTCCTTCCTCCTCCTCCTCCTCCTCCTCCTCCCTACTCCTCCTCCTCCGCCTCCTCCTTCCTCCTCCTCCTCCTCTCCCTTCCTCCTTCCTCCTCCTCCTCCTCCTCCTCCTTTCTCCTTCCCTCCCTCCTCCTCTCCGTCCTCCTCCTCCTCCTCCTCCTCCTCCTCCTCCTCCTCCTCCTCCTCCCTCCCTCCTCCTCCTCTCCTCCTCCTTCCCTCCTCCTCCTCCTCCTCCTTCCTCCTCCCCTCCTCCCTCCTACCTCCTCCTCCTCCTCTCCTCCTCCTCCTCCTCCTCCTCCTCCTTCCTCATCCTCCTCCTCCCTCCTCCTCCCCTCCTTCCTCCTCCTCCTCCTCCTCCTCCTCCTCCTCCTCCTCCTCCTCCTCCTCCTCCTCCTCCTCCTCCTCCTCGAACACAGGGGGGGAGCCGCACCCCGACGGGCCCAGTCCGCCGCCATCCGTTTGTGTGGCTTGGGCTGTTGGCCTCGCGGAGGCCGACCTCCCTTTGGTGCAAGCGCTGGGGAGGCGCCTCTGCGCAGAGGAGGCAGAGGGCGTCGTGCCCGACGCCTCGGCTCTCTCCGAGGAGTCTGAGGAATGCCTAGACTGACCGCGAAGGGTATTTGATAAACCCCTGGGCAATCATGTGAAACTGATTCATTCTCCCGCGGGCTTATTGATGGATTGGGGCCCCAACAATAATTGGACAATTATTCTTCCCCCGCGCCGGCCACCGCACAGGCATCCGCTCCCATCCTCCTCTCTCCTCCTCGAGACCCGTGGGAGTTGTGGGAAATGTGGGACCTGTGGAATGTGCGGGACCACTGGAACCTGTAGAACTTGTGGGAGGAGCAGAGGCCAGAGAGGAGGGAGAAGGAGGAGGAGGAGGAGGAGGAGGAGAAGGAGAAAGAGGAGGAGGAGGAGGAGGAGGAAGAGGAGGAGGAGGAGGAGGAGGAGGGAGGGGAACGAGAAGGGACGGACGAGTTTCTATTCCCCGCTGAGAGCTCACGGGGGGGGGCGCGGCACTCAAGACCCTCTGGGGTTGGGCCTCCACGAGCCGCCTTCAGGACTCTGTCTCATCTCATCACCTCCTCCTCCCAATCCTCCCCTTCTTTCTCCTCCTCCTCCTCATCCTCCTCTTCCTCCTCCTCCTCCTCCTCTTCCTCCTCCTCCTCGTCCAACTCGACCCGGCGCTATTGCCAGCCGCGCCTGAGGCGGGGGAAGAGGCTCCGGAGCTTCTGCCCGTCGGTGGAGTACTCGGCGGCCTCGGCTGGAAGGCGAGCGAAAGCACGCCTCGCCCTGCCGTTGCGTCCCAGCGTCTGGGAACGAGAAAGGTACGAGGAGGGGGAGGGGGAGGGGAGGTGGAGGAGGGAGGAGAAAGGGGAGGGGTAGGGAGAAAGTGGGGATGAGGAGGAAAGGGGAAGAGGAAAGGTAGAGGGAGGAGGAAGGAGAGGGGAGAGGAGTAAGGGAGAAAGAAGAAGGGAGCACACTGTGTGGATCGTGGGCTGGCCGAGCAGGAAAAGGCGTCCGAAGAGCCAGAGGCTGTCGAAGGGCAGGCGTGGTACCAGCTCAGCGCGCTGGGAGGGGTAACGACTGGCAGCAGCAAAATGAGACGGCAGTATGCAGGGGACCGAACTCTGGACACCGACGCTTTCTCTGGCCCCGCACTGAAACTTGCACAAGAAAGCGGATCCTGGTGCATGCGGGACCCTGGTGTATACATTTTTGTCGTCGCTTCCTCGAGAAACGGAAACAACAAGTACACACCACACCACCCCGACGTCGTCCCCGACCCTCAAAAAAGGCCTCGGATTGAAGAACAGCTCGCCGCTGGCAGTGTACATGTTCCAATTTCCGAATGTGTGTCGCAACTGTCGGGGATCTTCTGACCCGGGTCAATCCAGACCCGGGTCAGCAGGAAACCAAAAACTGCAATGCAAGAAAAAAAATGCAGCGCAGGTCTTCGCAAACCCGGGTCAGCCAATGTGTGCGGCCGCCTCGCGGCCACGAACGGCTCGCTAACCGGGGTCAGCCAGCGGGGGTCTTCGCAGGATCCTGCAGGATCTGGTGCCGTGGCTGACCCCCGTTTGCATTGACCCCCGTCTCAAGGCTCCCGAAACTGCCCAGAAAAGGGACTGCCGGCACCGTCCGCGGCAGCGTCCGTTCACAGCCTCCGAACCCGAGCCGACCGCCCGTGCCGCGAGGGAGCCGGCCTGCCAGCGGCTCTCTCTTCCCGTGCCTGCCGCATTCCGTTGCGCGTTCTCTCCTCCTCGTGCCGCCGTGGCTGCTGCCGCCGACCTCCCCTCCAGGCCTCGGAACAGATCAGCGAGCACTCACGCCACACTCCTCTGTCAACGCCTCCCTCTCCCCCCAATGTTCAGAGCTGGCGGTGGGTCCGATGACGTGCACTTCGACCGCAGTCTCCCCCACGCGTGCCGACATTGAGTTTGAGGGGGAGGGGGAGTGTTCAGTAATTGTTTCCCTCTCCCGTCTCTCACCGCCCCAGAACTGGCTCGTGCTCGCATCGGGAAACCTTACGCCCCGCTCTCCTCCCGGCCAGGCGCCCAGCCCGAGTCGGTCCTCGGGCCCCCCCCCCTGGCACGCCGCCCTGGCTGCGCTGCGACTATCCGACCCGCGCCCGGCAGTGGCGACGAGGGGGCCTCCGAGGACCACGCTCGGCCTGCTCCAGACCACCGCGTGTGAGCCCTGCCCCCGCAGGTCCGACTTCTGGAGCGCATGCGGGGGGGGGGTCGGGATCCGAGACCCGTCTGCAGCCGAGTGAATCCCCAGCAGGGGTGTCCGATGCCCCAGCGTCGATTGGACCCGCACGGGCAGGTTTCGAACGCGGTCGCCAGCGGTCGGTCTCCCGTGGAACGGGCGAGAGCGAAGGCAGCTCGGGGCAAGCGGGCGCGTCCGCGCCAGCGTGAGGCCGCGCACGTCCAGGGAGTGGACGAGCTTGCCGCACGGAGACGCCGCCAGAGCCTGGGGGGAGCCGCACGGGCTGCTGGTTCGGAATTACCAGATCACTCGGAAGAAGTGAACAGAAACATTGAGCAGGAAGGCGTTGCAGATGTATTGGGTTGCCGCCTGCCCCCCTGAAAAGGAAGGCGCCTAAGGCACATTGGAACCTTGAATTCAACACACAGCAGAGACAGCAACGCTTGCAGGCAACGATGGGTAATGGCGCTGAGCTGGAGATGCCAACGGCAATCACGACGACGACCTAACTACACGCAAGCACGTGGCCCGCGTGCGGTCGGTAGTCATCTGAATGACCGCAGCATGCTCAGCTGACCCCAGTACAGAATATGCCTGCGCCCTCCACATGGTGGACGCAACCAAGACCCGAGATAGAGGTGAGGCACAAGAGAGGGGCCACAGCAGACCATGCATATTGAGTGTGGCACGGTCCGTCGTCCTGCCCGTCACGAAGTCGCTGGCACGGAAAGAGGCTGCGGCTGCAGACGCTGCTGAGAGCACCCGCTGCCCTCCCGCCCCTGCATCCCGGGTGCTTGCCGCGCCGAAGGCCCTCTCGTTCTCGCTTGAGAGCCAGACCCGCCCCCTTGGCTGCGCCGCCGCCGCGGCCGCCCGCGGCGGGCGCCACGGGGCCTGCCGCGTTCGCGCGCTGCGCCGCGCAGAGCGCGAGGACAGCCCGCGCGCTCGCGCGGCCCTCCCCCCCCCCTGCAGAGGGACAGCCCTCCGGCCCGAGGCAGCGAGGCGCGGAGCCCGGCGGCGCGGCCGCCTGCGACAGGAGCGGAGAGGCGGCAGAGGGGTCCGAGGTGGGGGCGGGCGTGGGTGGGGGGGGGGGCACGGTTCCCGCCGGCACTCCGGGCGCAGGCGGTCCACAGCCCAACTCGACTGGAGGGGACACGCGAGAGGACACGAGACCCTTCCGAGGGCCACGTTGCCGCAGAAACGCGGGAGGCATGGGTCGCAGGACGCAGGACACGAGGGTACCCTAGATCTGGCAGGGTCGACCTACTAATCCGGGCCGCCTTTGTCTTCTCGCTCTTCAAAAATCACATTCTTCCCCTTCCGGGGGGGGGGGGACCATTCCCCCTCCCCGGGGGTCTGGACGGGCCTGGGTGGAGCGGTCAGGGCGCCCAAGATGGCCCAAGATGGCTCCAAGAGGGCCTCCGATGCTCCAAGATGGCCTCCAGAATGGTTCAAGATGGCCGACGATGGTTTAAGATGGCCTTCACCATGCCTCCAAAAGGCCCCAAGAGAACCACAGGATAGTTCCGTCTGCAGTCGGAGCCCCCCCAAAAAATGTCAAAATCATTCAAAAACCGTTGGAATATCAAAAAAGATTGACCTCTCGTCTTTGATGAGCTTTTGAGTGGCCCCAGAATGGCCCAAGAGCGCCCCGAGATGGCCTTAGGAGACCCCCAAGACGACCCCAAGAGCGCCCCAGAACGCCCCAAGAGCGCTCAACAGCGAACAAGAGGCGACTCTGGTAGCCCCAGGTTGTGGAGTCTCTATCTAGGACCCCCCCTTGTGATCGACGCCATACAAGAGACCTTCCAGGGCTCCTGAAAGGCTTCAAGGTGGGCCCCAGAGGGCCCGGGGACACATCAAAAGAGCCCCATGAGATGAAGCCTCCCGATCGATCGCGCCGTTCTAAGATGCCTCAAAAATAATTCTGATCTCAAAAAAAAAGCCGTCACAAGTAACACACATAAAATCTGAAATTGAATGCTTAAACTTCTGGTTCAGTTGCCGGGATGTTCCCCATATGTTCTCGTCGCGAGCAGGCATGTTGAGGAAGTCCCCCACAAGGGAGTTGGTTTAATCGCGCCCGAGATTTTACCGGGAGTTCCCGAACCAGCATGAATATCATTAGTTGTTGAACATCGGGTTATTTAATTCTGAGCTCGTCCCCCAGTTTTTATAAATTCTAAATGCGATTTTTCTGTGCAGTTCAGGAGAATGGCCTTCAGGGCGATAGGTCGGGACCCCTCAAAAAGAAAATAAAAAGAAAAAAGAAAAAGAAAAAAAAGGAAGAAAGCAGAGACAAGAAAATAAAAATAAAAAGGAAAGTTGAAGAAATAAAGAACGAAATAAAAAACAAAAAAAAAAAAAAAATAAAAAAAAAAAAAAAAACAACAGTTAAACAAAAAAAGACCCCTCAAGCCATGACGAACCCTGTACATTCCACCAGCTGTCCAAGAAAACCCCAAGAGGACCCAAAGAAAACATCCAGAGGATACCTAGAAGACTCGGGTATGGTTTCAAGAACTCTCATCATCTTTGTCCTCCTTTTCCTCCTAGTTGCCTTTTCCAAGCCATCGTTCGTATTCTCGTTTTCGACATTGTCGTCATCCTCCTCCTCCTCGCCCTCCTCCTCCTAATTGTCCTCCTCCTCCTGATTATCCTCCTCCTCCTCCTCCTCCTCGTCCTCCTCCTTTCTCCTCGAGGTCCCCAGTAGGGTCCAAGGAGAACCCAGGGATGACCACAAGAGGGTGCCAGGAAGACCCGAACATGGCACCAAGAATCCACATCATCGTCGTCGTTGTCCTCCTCCTCCTTTTCCGCGTCGTCGTCGTCGTCATCGAACTTGTCTGAACGCAATGGACGCGATGCTGGGTTGGTTCCCCCGTCGTGGATAGGATTCGGATTGCCAGGGATGCCTGTGAACGTCTGTTCCACGACATGTTTCTAAACTTCCCTTTTCCGAGCAACTCGCCTGGCGATTGTTTCTGTATGGACTGGTGGGGATATTTCTGGTACGCGGGCGCGCGAAGACGAGTCGAACGCCGCCGTGCAAGCTAAGGCGGGCCGCGCCGAAACACAGGAAAAAACGGGGTTGGTGCGGTACATTTTGATCGCGAGCGCGCATGAGTACCAGGCGACGTCCAGAAACGCGGCTAACAAGCAACGGTTGGTGGCAATACTTCTGGTTGCGGCCGCAAGCGAAAGCGCAGGCGGCGTCCGAAGTCAGCCTTGGCTACGAGCGAAACCTAATTAACTAGCGCGCGAACCAACGGCCGCCGGAGCTGCCGCGGAGGACGCTGGGCGACGCCAGGGACTGAAGGCAGAGCTGCAAGAGGTGCCAGGTGTGCCAGGCGGCTGAAGTGTAACCACCCCAGGGGCGAGACCACCAGGAAGGCAAATGAATTGCACCCTGTCGCGCCAGGCGCCAAAGGCAAACGTGCCACCGAGCAGAGCACGGCATAGCGCGGGGCTGAGCAAACAGTCCAATGTACACGTGTCGCATGCCAACAGTGGCAACCTCAAGTGGTTGAACAAGAAGGCTAAACCATTCATGAGCAATCCACGTGGAGGTGCATCCCACCATTGCAAGGCGGCAGCTGCAAACACGGTCAAGCTGTGGCAGCGCCTGGGGACCTGGGGCCAGATACACGCAAGCATGCTAGCTGGAGCTGGTCGACGTGCAAGTCACCGGGACGCAAGGGTTACCTCACCAGGCTCACAGAAGCCAGCACGGACACCATCAGACGCCAGGGACGGAGGGCGAAAGCCCGGAAGCCGCAACCAAGCTGTGGTCGGCGGCAGGGCGGCGGTGGCCAGGGGGGGCCAGACGGCGGCTGGTCGCGATACTTTTTGGTCTGCGGGCTCGCGAAGCAGGTCGAAAGCCGTCCGAACACTACTGGTGGCGACACTTTTTGTTGGTCGACAGCTCCGAGGCAACGGACAGGGAGCGGAAGCGGCGTCCGGGTCACGGTACGGGGCTAATTGCAAACTGGTGGCGATGCGCGAAGCGCCAAGAATTCCGAAATACTTCGGCCAGGGTGCAAGATTGGAGTGCTAGAGCGCTGTCATGAGCCAACCTCGACGGGCAAGGTGGTCGCAACATTCTGGCCACAGTGGTCATTCCTTACACCCGCGCGCGCGCCAAGGGCTGACAGGGCTCGTGTCGTCCGAACAGGTCGGCGCCAATAGGATACGGCCGCTCGGGGGACAGCAAACCAATAGAGGTCCTCATGAAAAAAGGCTGGGTGAATCAGGAACATGCCTGTGGGTAAATACTCGACGTTAGCGGGGGCGGAAAACGACGCCGACGACGACGATGACGGTGACGGCGACGGGAACGGACTTTGAGACGACCGGCAAGCCTGCGGACGCACATCCAAACGGGCCGCACGTCCATCAAGCCGAAACAGCGCACGCTGCGCATTGCAGCGACCAGGAATTCAAAGACGAAAGATGACTCAACAATAAGAGGCCGCTTCAGACCGCCATGCACGGGAGCCCACGCTGGATTGCGGAGCGGCGCCCTGGTGAGCCGGGTACGCCAGCTCCCTCCTGTTGCCGCTGGGGCGCACTCAGGCTCCCAGAGCCTCGCCCCATGGCGTCTTCGCCGCCACCTCACACTTCTCCACGTACGCGCAGAACTCGGCCAGCATCACCACGCTGTCGTTGCCATACTCCTTGCCCTCTGCATCCTTACCGCTGTTCATCTTCTTGAATACCTCCTCTGCGCCCTTCTCGTCCAGCTTAGCGGCGTCCCTCAGGCCGACAAAGCCGTGCTTCGCGACGGTCTTGTAGCCCTTCTTCCACTCCTCCAGCGTCATCTTGCGGTCGTCGCCAGATTTGTCCTCGACACTGCCGCCGCCGCCGTCGATGAGGGCGAAGGCATCGTACATCGCCGCGTACAATATGAGGTAAGCGCAGAGCAGGCGAAACTCCTTCGCGGTGACGTAATCGTCCGCGCGGCTCCCGCCGCCGGCGATGTCCTTTGCGTCCGTGTGGGCACGGATGTAGGAGGCGCGGAAACACTTCCAGATGCGGGTCCCCTCCTCCTTGGGATCCCCATCGCAGCCCTTCTGCCCAAAATAGGTGATCAAGACCTTCTGGATCCACCCGTCCACCTCGGCGAGGGACACGTACCCGTTACCGTTCGGGTCGCACGCAGCGAATGCGTGGCCGCGGGCGACGCGGCCCTCATCATTCTTGTACGTCAGGCTCTTGAAGACGTCGCAGAAGGTCTGGCAGGCGGGGGACATGCCTGGGTTCTTGAACTCCATCTTATCGGAGCTGTTGCCCAGGTAGTTCGCGATCTCATCCATGCCGAGCGACCCGCTGCCGTCGGAGTCCAGCTTGCTCCAGACCGTCAGTACGGACTTCTCGTCGATATTCGGGTTGCCTTTCTTGAGGAGCGCCGTGAACTCATCTTTGGTGATCATTCCACTGCCATCTTTGTCCACTTCTGCGAACTTGGCCTTCAGAGCCGCAGCCATGTCGTCAAAGGGACCGTCCGCCTCCAGAAGCGTTAGACCCTGAACTGACTAGACCTTGAGCCAAAATGGCTTTGGAGGACCCAGTAGCATGCCATGCGATAGCCCCAAAAGGGTGCATAGATTCCGTAGTTGGTTTAGGGTAGCCCCAGCATGCTTCCAGGAGGTCCCAAGACGGCCCCAGAATGGCTCGAGATGGCGCACCCGACTTAGCCGCATCGTCAAAAAAGTGGGCGTTCCTATTGGTTGCCGTTTCGCCGATTCGCTTCCGATCGTCTTCTGAGGCCTCGCGATGGACCCAAGATGTCCCGAAAGTCTCAAAGAAGGACAAGAGCCACGCAAGAGCCACACAAGAGCCCCAAAGGCCCCAGAAGCGCCCCAAGAGTCCTGAGAGAGCCCGAATCAGCGAGAATTCGTGCTTCAACAGGGCGTGACGCCGCTGCGTGCCTTGTCGCTGGCCTCCAGGGTGGTCGCATGAGGCCCCAAAAGCTCCCAGAAGGGATTCAAGAGAGTCCCAAGATTGCTCCGAGAGGACTCCATGTGGCGGTCCTAATGTTGGTTAGTGCTTGGGTTACACGGGCTCACCCCTACTTCGGTGTGGCTGGTGTCCCACCTGATTGGCCTGACGAATACACACATGCCCTTCGCATCGACAACTCGCCTGGGATTCGTTCCTGGATGGGCCTGTGAGGTTTTTTGGTCGCAGCCGCAAGCGAAGGCGCAGGCGGCGTCAAGGGTCGACCCGGGCTACGGGCGGAACCTGCCTGTGGAGGTACGGGAGGCGTCAAGAATGGGAAAGCGATCCGACGGTGCACTCCCCTGGCAAAATCCGCCACCGCGCTTGCAGCAGCTGGTTTGCGTGCGGTCGTTTCGCCATTCGAGAGGCAAGCAATCATCAGGGCCCCCCGACGCAGCGAGCCCAAGATGAGCTCACTGCTGTGGCCAAGTCCCTGCGTTGTTTGTCTTCCAAGCAGAAAATGGCCCCAACTGCAAAGCCTGTGACAAAGGGGCCTCCGTGGCTCCTACCCCATCCCCGCTCCGAGGCGCCCACCCCCCCCTGCCCGCCCGAGCGCGGCGGCGGAATCGCGTGGCAGCGCAACTGGAAAGCATGTTAGAAAGCGAACGATACATCCGAGAAAAGGGTGAGTAGAGGCAATCGAGATAATCGCTCCAGATGCGCGGACCTACCAGAAGAATTATCCTGGCTACATACCCAACTGATTCGCAACAAGTGGCACGGCAATAGAGCAATGCTATACGGATAACCTCACGGCATGGAATGCGCTTGGTTGTGAAATCTGCATGGGAGGCTTACGCTTTGCGCGGCTCACGGGACAGGCTTAAGCGAGGCAGTACCTTAGGAAATGGCATGGCATGGAGAAGACGGAAGGACAACCACGAAACGAAACGAGGCAGAATGACGTATGAGCATATGGGCAAAGGGAGAAGGAGGAGCAGGGACGAGAAACAAGGCAGGAGGATGCAAGGAGGTGAGGAGTAAAGGATGAGGGGAAGGAACGAGGTCGGAGAAAGCGGTAACAATTGCACAGCTGGCAGCGCCCAAAGAGGGGAGGTCTCACCTGGATTTACGTAAGACACCACTCCGCTGGACATCTCAGGCACTCATGAAGGGGGCGACAGTTGCTCAGCTGGCCGCGCAGCGATGGGCCTCCCGGTGGCTCACGAAAGTGCAGCCCGTTTCGCATATGGCAGCCCCGAGGGAGGCGACGTCCCACGTGGATCTGCATAGGACACCACTCATCTGGACCTCTGAGGGCGAGGTCCCTTTGATGGGGTCTGCGCAGACCACCACTCCGCTGAGTCCCCCAGGCGCTCACGAAAGTGGCGGGAGCTGCGCAGTTGGCGGCGGCCAGGGACGCGAGGTAGGAGGCAAGCAGGAGGGAGGAGACAGGAAGAGAGAGGAGTGAGGCGGGAGGAGGAGAGGAGGACGGAGACCGGAGTGCTCGGACCAAAACGAGAACCCAAACCCAACGCAAGAAGGTCGGTAAATTACCCGAGACGTACCCAACCACTTCTCCAAGCGAGGCAACTAATTGTATGAAAGCTCCACAGAGAAGAACAAGTTGCGAGGACAATATACTCCGATGGACCTCCCAGGAGCCCGCCAAAGTGGCGACAATTGCGTCGCCTGACTGCCGCCTCCACTGGGCCTCCCATGAGCCCACGTAAGTGGCGACGGTTCGCAATTGGCGTGGAAGGGAAGCAAGGAGACAGAAGGAGGAGCTGGAGGAAGAGGGAGGTTGAAACAAGCAGTGCTCTATTCAACACGCGAACCGAACACAGACGGGGTGGAAATCCCAGGGTACCGCAAGATCTCGCCTCACTACCGCCTCCGCTGGACCTCACAGGGGCCCACGAAAGTGGCGACAGTTGCGCAATTCGCAGCCTCCCAGGGAGCCACGAAGTCTCGTCTGACTACCGCCTCCGCTGACCTTCCAGGAGCCCACGAACATGGCGACAATCGCACAATTGGCAGCCTCCCCAGGGAGCTGCGAGGTCTCGCCAGACTACCGCCTTCGCTGCAACTCCCAGGAGCCCACGAAAGTAGCGACGGCAGTTTCGCAGTCGGCGAGGAAGGGAGGAAGGAGACAGAAGGCAGGAGGAGGGGGAGAGGGAGGAGGAAGAGGAAAGTTAGAGCAAGCAGTGCTCCATTCAACACAAGAACCCAACACAGGAGGGTTGGGAATCCCAGGGAGCCGCGAGGTCTCCCCTGACTACCGCCTCCGCTGGACCTCGCTGGAGCCCGCGAAAGTGGCGGTGCAGTTCGCAGCCTCCCAGGGATCCGCAAGGTCTCCCCTGACTACCGTCTCCGCTAGACCTCCTACGAGCCCACGAAAGCAGCGACAAATGCACAGCTGGCAGCCTCCCAGGGAGCCGCGAGGTCTCGCCTGACTACGCGTCCGCTGAACCTCCCAGGAGCCCACGAACATGGCAGCAGTTGCGCAGCTGGCGAGGAAGGGAGGCAAGGAGGCAGGAAGAAGGGGAGGAAGAAGAGGAAGGTTGGAAAAAACAGTGCTCTACTGAACACGAGAACCCAACGCGGAAGGGTTGGGAATACAGCAGGATGCAGAAGGTTGCAATGCAGGAGGAGGGAGGAGGCAGGAAGCAGAAGTTGGAGAGGACGGAGTCACGACCGCAGTGCCCTATCCAAAACGAAACGCCAACTCAGGATGGATGAGGCATCCGAAAAGTGTTGAGTTGAGCTATGCTTGATTGACGCTCGGCATAGCAACGTACCTGATTGCCTTATGGGGCCCCTACCCACACAGGGACTGGGCCACCACGGCGGCTCGAATCCCCTGGAGCCCCTGGAGCCTCCCGACATCTCCTGGAATCTCCTCGGACCTCCTGAAACCTCGCACAACAATCTCCCAATGCCATCCCTCTTCAGATGATGAGGGCCCCTGATCACGTTCCACGCTCCCGCAGTCCCGGCACCTCCTGAGCCCCTGAGATACCTCCTCCTCCTCCTCCTCCTCCTCATCCTTCCTTCTCCTCCTCCTCCTCCTCCGCCCTCCGCATCGCCTCGTTCCTCCAGACTCCTCCCTCCTCCTCCTCCTCCTCGTCCTCGTCTCCTCCTCCTCGTCTCCTCCTTCTCCTCTCCTCCTCCTCCTCCTCCTCCTCACCTCCTCATCCTCCTCCTCCTCCTCTCCTCCTCCTCCCTCCTCCCCTCCTCGTCAGCCTCGCCGCCGCCTCGCTTCTCTCCTCCGCCTCCTCATCCTCTCTCCCCTCCGCCTCCTCCTCCTCCTCCTCCTCCTCCCTCCTCCTCCTCCTCCTCCTCCTCCTCCTCCTCCTCCTCTCCTCCCTCCTCCCCTCCCCTCAATCATCATCATCATTCATCATCATCATCATTCTCCCCTCTCGCATATCCATCATCATCATCTCCATCATCATCATCATAATCATCATCATCACACACCACAACCACCACCACCACCACCATCATCATCATCATCATCATTTATCATCAAACACATCTCATGACTCCTCCTCCTCCTCCTCCTCCTCCTCCTCATCATCATCATCATAATCATCCTCCTCCTCCTCCTCCTCCTCCTCATCATCATCATCATCATCATCATCATCATCATCATCATCCTTCTCCTCCGCCTCCTTGGGGCGCGCCTCGATGACTGCACTGGTCATGTTGGTGTTGCCGAAGTAGCTCAGCCACCGGAGCCGCGGGCAATGCGCGGCCACCGCGCGGGCCGCCGCGTCGGTGAGCGCGGAGCACCACGTCAGGTCGAGGGTGTGCAGCCTGGAGGGCGAGGCCGCCTCCAGGAGCCCGACGAGGGGGCCGTCCTCGATGGGCCGATTTCCCACAGGCACTACCACAGGTAGGAGGAGGAGGGAGGAGGAGGAGGAGTGAGGAGGAGGAGGAGAAGGAGGAGGAAGAGGAGGAGGAGGAGGAGGAGGAGAGGAGGAGGAGAAGGAGGGGGGGAGGAGGAGGAGGAGGAGGAAGGAGGACGGAAGGAGGAGGAGGAGGAGGAGGGAGGAGGACAGATAGGAGGAGGAGGAGGAGGAGGGAAGGAGGGTGGAGGAGTGCAGGAGGAGGAGGAGGAGGAGGAGGAGGAGGGGGGGGGAGGGGGAGGAGGAGGACCTCCCCGTCCCCGTCCTACCTATGGTAGTGGTGGTGGAAAATTGGCCCATCAGTCCTCGACCCTGCAGCCGCAGAGGCCCAGCTCCTCCAGGCACACCAGCTGCGGCAGCGCCGCGAACGCGGGCGGCGGCAGCTGGCCCATGGCGTACAGCCGCAGCACCCGCAGCCGGTCCAGCACCCCGCACACCAGGCGCACCCCGGCGCCGGTGACGCTCGGGCAGCGGGTCAGGTCGATGGTCTCGAGGTCGGGAGCCTTGCTCACGACACGCTGCACGGTCTCGTCCGAGACCTGCTTGCAGCCGCTGAGGACCAGGTCTCTCAGGCCAGTCCCCTGCTGCGCGCGCAGCGCGAGCATCAAGCCCCGGTCGGTGACCTTACAGTTGGAATACAGGCTGAGGCTGCGCAGGCGAGGGCACCTCTGCGCGATTGCGACAAGGCCGCTGTCGTCGACGCCGTGGCACATGTCCAGATTGAGAGTCCGCAGGCCTGGCAGCTGTGGAAGAGCCTGTAGGACAGCGTTGTCGACCGAGGGACAGAACCCAGCGTCGACCTCGGTGCTAGGGCTCTGGGCGGCGCCAAGACGGCCCGTGAAGACAGTCCTGGCTGGCCTCCACAGGGTACAGAGCGATCTCGGCTGAGACAGCCCTGGACCCCCTTCGGGGGGCATCTGGGCGCAGCCCTCAGCCTTCCAGACATAAAACGCACAATTTGGTTGTACAGTGGGCCCTTGGACCCCTCGCCCAAGGACCAACTTTCCATCTCGAACGGGTTTCTGATAGCCCTGGGGGGCCGGAACTGACCTCCAAAGCCAGAACTAACACCGGCCGTGGCGGCGTTCGGCTCATGGCGCCTCGAGATCTAGGTCCCCCGACACCTCCACCTCAAAATACGCCCCTGGGCCTGCCCTGGGGGGCGCTAGTGCCTGCACTCCGAGGCGGACCCAGCCGTGGCGACGAGCGCAACCCGGAAGGCTCAAAGACGCCCAAGAACGCCGAAGATTGGCGGCGCGCCGGGGGGGGCAGGGGAAGGGGGGAATCCTCCTTAGAAGGAGGCTGCTTCTTAGAAAGCGCCAACCTTACTTCTACAGACAAGGCACGCGACTTCTAAGAAGTAGGGGTGCCTCTAAGAAGCCTTCCCCCCTCCTCCTACCCACCTCTGCGCGTGGCCGACAAGAAGATAGATCTTCGAACATCCTTGCCGCGGCGCTGGTGATTTGGCTTCCCAGTCGACCTCGTAGATCGCCGCCCCGGCGTCGGTCGCTGGCGACCGCGCCAGGCGCAGCAGCCGCTGGGCGGGTGAGGGGCCCCCCAGCAGCCGCAGCCGCACCGCGCCGAGCGCCTGGGCAGCGGAGAGCTCCCCCCTGACGACGACGACGGCAGCGACGACGGCGACGACGGCGACGACGACAACGACGACGGCGACGACGGCGACGACGACGGCGACGACGCCGACGACGACGACGGGTCGGCCGCGGCGGCGGCGGCGGCGGAGGCTACGACGACGACGACGACGACGACGACGACGACGACGACGACGACGACGACGACGACGACGACGACGACGACGACGACGACGGGGTCGGCTGCGGCGGCGGCAGCGGCGGCGGCGACGGCAGCGACGACGACAACGACGACGACGACGACGACGACAAGGTCGGCCGCGGCAGCGGCAGCGACGACGACGACGACGACGACGACGACGGGGTCGGCCGCGGCGGCGGCAGCGGCAGAGGCGTCGGCAGCGACGACGACGACGACGACGACGACGACGAAGACGACGAGGGCGACGACGACGACGACGACGACGACGACGACGACGACGACGACGACGACGACGACGACGACGACGACGACGACGACGACGACGACGACGACGACGACGACGGGGTCGGCCGCGGCGGCGGCGGCGACGGCGGCAGCGACAACGACGGCCCCTGGGTCTGGAAGGTCGGGGGCGCGAACAGTTAGAGCGTCCAAGATGGCCCAAGCTGGCTCCAACATGACCCTGGAAAGCGCAAACCAGCCTCCAGGATGGCACAAAATCATCGAAGATGGCTCAAGACGGCTTCCAGCATGCTACCAGAGGCCCCAAGACCCTTCCAAGATGCTTCCGAGTGGCAACAGAGCCCCCCCGAGAACAACCCCCGAGAGGCCAAAGTCTGTTTTATTTCAACCTAAGGAAATCCTGTGAGTTTTGCATTCTCGCCTTTTCGCGTCCGATGGGCTTCCGAAGCGTCAGGATGGCTGGCTCCAAGTTAGCCAGAGGGAGCCCCAAGAGGGGCCCACGAGGGCTCCAAGATGGCCCAAGGAGAGCATAAGAGCGCCACTCTCAAGAGGCCCCAAGGCTCGGGTCTTGGAGCTCTAGATCAACGTCCTCCAAGATGGCCCCAAGAGGGCCGCTAAGGCTCCCAAGAGGGCCCCAAGGAAGCCTCAAGAGGACCCCAACAGAGCCCAAAAGGCATCCCGGATAACCCCAAACAGGCCCCAAGATGGCCCAGGTGAGCTGCCAAGAGGCCCTCACACATCGAAAGATGCTCGAAGCCATTTTTGTCGGTTTGAGGCTGCCATCGTCTTTGTTCCACTGCGTGTCCCCACACTTCCCTGAGCAACACAGCTCCCTTGGGCATCGCTGCTTCTGGGCCAGAGGGGATAGGCGAAGCGCCAAGAACCATCAACCAGCGAGCCCCAGAGTGCGGAACTCGACGGACATCGGGCGCTCACGGGGGCGTCGGCGCAGGCCCCGTCCAGAGACTGTTCGGACCTTGCACTCCAGAGCGAGATCCCCGCGGCGCTCCCGCGCGGGCCCCACAGAGAGGAGAAACCCCCCCCTGCCCAGTCCCGCGGAGAGCGCGCGAGGCACGAGCCTCCCCGCCCGCCCCCGCGGGTGGCCTGGAGTAGGCGGCGCGCCCAGGGGGGCAGCGAGAAGGAGCGGGCCTTCCCAGAAGGCTCGGAAGCTCCCCGGCCTTCGGAAAAGTGCTCCGCGCCTCCTCCCCGAAGACACCGAAGGCACCTCTCAGAGGGCCGGGGCCCTTCTGAGAGGTCCCGACGCCTTCTGAGGAGGCCTCCTCCTTCTCGCGCCCACCCCCTCGCTCGCCGCCGGCTTCGGGCCCTGGGCACCTCGCGCTTCGATGCAGCTCGAAACCACTCGGCGGTGGACAAACCTCCCTTTCATAAATCTCCCCTTCGTGAAAACGGCCTGGGGCCGAAACCGATCCGGACCTGGACCCACAAGAACGACGGCCGCGGCGCCCTCCCGCGAGCCGACAACGGCCGATTCCTGCATCGACGCGTCGGGGCAGGAGGTCCATCCGCCTCCGAACCATATGGCGCAGGAAGCCGGGGTCCATAGAGCTCCGGTCGAGGC